AGGCCCAGGACCGGTTCAGATAATCGCCGTGAGCGGGAATCGAACTCGGGTCGCCAGGTTCGTAGCGCAGCGTAGCGCTAACCGCTGCACCACCGCTCCCCCCCCACACACACAGTGACACACACACAGTGACACACTTACACACAGACACACTGACACAGACACACAGACACACACACTAACAGACACACAGTGACACACACACGGGAGGGGGGGCTACACCTGAGTGTGTGTGTGTCTGTGTGTGTGTGTCTGTGTGTGTGTCTGTGTGTCACTGTGTGTGTGTGTCTGTGTGTGTGTGTCTGTGTGTGTGTCTGTGTGTGTGTCTGTGTGTCACTGTGTGTGTGTGTCTGTGTGTGTGTCTGTGTGTGTGTGTCTGTGTGTGTGTGTGTCAGTGTGTGTGTGTCTGTGTGTCACTGTGTGTGTGTGTGTCTGTGTGTGTGTGTCTGTGTGTGTGTCAGTGTGTGTGTGTGTGTCTCTGTGTCTGTCTGTGTGTGTGTGTCAGTGTGTGTGTGTCTCTGTGTGTGTCTGTGTGTGTGACACAGTGGGGAGTGATTCCGCTGTCTCGAGTTCCCGGAAGTTTCTCGCGGTGCTTGCAGAGCCTCACTCAGTGAGCCGTGAGTGAGGCGAGACACAGACACACAGACAGAGACACAGACACACAGACACACAGACAGAGACACAGACACACAGACACACAGACAGAGACACAGACAGAGAGACAGACACAGACACACAGACAGAGAGACAGAGACACAGACACACAGACAGACAGAGACACAGACAGAGAGACAGAGACACAGACAGACAGAGACACAGACAGAGAGACAGAGACACAGACACACAGAGGCACACACAGACACACAGGCAGAGACACAGACACACAGACACAGAGACACAGAGACACAGACACACGAGTTAGACAGAGACCCACTTGGCTGTCCAGCTCGAGACACGTGGGCCCTGCAGGTAAGTGGTGGTGGTGAGTGGTGGTAGTGGTGAGGGTGGTGAGGGTGGTGGTGAGTGGTGGTGGTGGTGAGTGGTAGTAGTGGTGAGGGTGGTGAGGGTGGTGGTGAGTGGTGGTGGTGAGGGTGGTGATGAGTGGTGGTGAGTGGTGGTGGTGAGTGGTGAGTGTGGTAGTGGTGAGGGTGAGTGTGGTAGTGGTGAGTGTGGTAGTGAGTGTGGTAGTGGGTGAGGGTGGTGGTGAGCGGTGAGGGTGGTAGTGGTGAGTGTGGTAGTGGTGGTGGTGAGGGTGGTGGTGAGTGGTGAGTGTGGTGGTGAGTGTGGTAGTGGTGAGGGTGGTGGTGGTTGTGAGGGTGGTGGTAGTGGTGGTTGTGATGGTGGTAGTGATGGTTGTGATGGTGGTAGTGGTGGTGGTGGTAGTGGTGGTTGTGATGGTGGTAGTGGTGGTTGTGATGGTAGTTGTAGTGGTGGTTGTGATGGTTGTAGTGGTGGTTGTGGTGGATGTGGTAGTGGTGGTTGTGATGGTGGTAGTGGTGGTTGTGATGGTGGTAGTGGTGGTTGTGATGGTGGTAGTGGTGGTTGTGGTGGTTGTGGTTGTAGTGGTGGTTGTGATGGTGGTAGTGGTGGTTGTGGTGGTGCTAGTGGTGGTTGTGGTAGTAGTGGTTGTGGTGGTTGTGATGGTTGTAGTGGTGGTAGTGGTGGTTGTGGTAGTGGTGGTTGTGATGGTGGTGGTAGTGGTGGTTGTGGTGGTGGTAGTGGTGGTTGTGATGGTGGTAGTGGTGGTTGTGATGGTGGTAGTGGTGGTTGTGGTGGTGGTAGTAGTGGTTGTGGTGGTAGTGGTGGTTGTGATGGTGGTAGTGGTGGTTGTGGTGGTGGTAGTAGTGGTTGTGGTGGTAGTGGTGGTTGTGATGGTGGTAATGGTGGTTGTGGTGGTTGTGGTGGTGAATGTGGTGGTTGTGATGGTGGTAGTGGTGGTTGTGGTGGTGGTAGTAGTGGTTGTGGTGGTAGTGGTGGTTGTGATGGTGGTAGTAGTGGTTGTGGTGGTTGTGGTGGTGGTAGTGGTGGTTGTGATGGTGGTGGTAGTGGTGGTTGTGATGGTGGTAGTGGTGCTTGTGATGGTAGTATGATGACCGGTACCAGCCTCTGTGGCGGAGGAGGCTCGTGAAGGACGCTGCTGCTGCTACTGGGCAGTGCCAGGCTAGGTGCACCTTGAGGCTACTGGGCAGTTGGAGGCAGTCGCCCTCCAGCAACAGCGGAGGGCGGAGGAGCGACGCTCACAACAACGAGCGGAGCGCCGGGCGGATAAAACGCAGCGAGTAGACAGTAGGGGGCACAGGTGGTGCATCTACCACTCATCTCAGTCGGTCGAACCTGCACCTCCTGCACCTAGCCTGGCACAGCAGTCAACCCATGGCACCTGCTGGGTCTGTCCCGTGACCTCCTCCTGCACCTAGCCTGGCACAGCAGTCAACCCATGGCACCTGCTGGGTCTGTCCCGTGACCTCCTGCACCTAGCCTGGCACAGCAGTCAACCCATGGCACCTGCTGGGTCTGTCCCGTGACCTCCTGCACCTAGCCTGGCACAGTAGTCAACCCATGGCACCTGCTGGGTCTGTCCCGTGACCTCCTCCTGCACCTAGCCTGGCACAGCAGTCAACCCATGGCACCTGCTGGGTCTGTCCCGTGACCTCCTGCACCTAGCCTGGCACAGCAGTCAACCCATGGCACCTGCTGGGTCTGTCCCGTGACCTCCTGCACCTAGCCTGGCACAGCAGTCAACCCATGGCACCTGCTGGGTCTGTCCCGTGACCTCCTCCTGCACCTAGCCTGGCACAGCAGTCAACCCATGGCACCTGCTGGGTCTGTCCCGTGACCTCCTCCTGCACCTAGCCTGGCACAGCAGTCAACCCATGGCACCTGCTGGGTCTGTCCCGTGACCTCCTCCTGCACCTAGCCTGGCACAGCAGTCAACCCATGGCACCTGCTGGGTCTGTCCCGTGACCTCCTCCTGCACCTAGCCTGGCACAGCAGTCAACCCATGGCACCTGCTGGGTCTGTCCCGTGACCTCCTCCTGCACCTAGCCTGGCACAGCAGTCAACCCACGGCACCTGCTGGGTCTATGTCGAGAGCCGTCGACACTTCACGTGACTTCAAAGTGCACCTAGCCTGGCACAGTGGTGATGTCAGTGCGAATGAATTCAGTTTTTTGTCTCTTGCATTGGTGGTTTATAATTGTCTAATACTGTATGCACACGCACATACACACACATACACACATACACACTCACACACATTTCAAATATAAACACTGTCAAACACATAGTTGTCGACACAATCTCTCAGTCACTTACCCACTCACTCACCCACTCTCTCACCCACACATTCACTCACCCACTCATCCACCCACTCACCCACTCACCCACCCACCCACTCACTCACCCACACACTCACTCACTCACCCACCCACTCACTCACTCACCCACACACTCACTCACTCACCCACCCACTCACTCACCCACACATTCACTCATTCACCCACTCACTCACCCACTCACTCACCCACTCACTCACCCACTCCCTCACCCACTTACTCACCCACTAATCCATCCACCCACCCACTCACCTGCCCACCCATCCAAACAACCACAAACTCATCCACATTCTCACTCACTTACCAACGCACACACTTCCTCATACTGACATAATTTACCTACTCACCCACACACTCACCAACTTCCCCATACTCCAACCATTCTCCCCCCTCCCCCACTCACCAATACCCCCACCAAATCACTTCCTCACCCACTCACACACCCACTCACCCACCCACTCACCCACCCACTCACCCACTCACCCACTCACCCACCCACTCACCCACCCACTCACCCACTCACTCACTCACCCACCCACTCACACACTCACCCACCCACCCACCCACTCACCCACTCACCCACCTACCCACTCACCCACTCACTCACCCACTCACTCACCCACTCACCCACTCACCCACTCACACACCCACTCACCCACTCACCCACCCACCCACTCACCCACTCACCCAATCACCCACCCACTCACTCACCCACCCACTCACTCACTCACTCACCCACCCACTCACCCACTCACTCACCCACCCACTCACTCACTCACTCACCCACCCACCCACTCACCCACTCACCCAATCACCCACCCACTCACCCACCCACCCACTCACTCACTCACTCACCCACCCACTCACCCACTCACTCACCCACTCACTCACTCACCCACCCACCCACTCACTCACCCACCCACTCACCCACCCACCCATTTACTCACCCACCCACCCACCCACTCACTCACTCACCCACCCACTCACCCAATCACCCACCCACCCACTCACCCAATCACCCACCCACTCACTCACCCACCCACCCACCCACTCACCCACCCACCCACTCACTCACTCAGCCACCCACTCACCCATTCACCCACTCACCCACCCACCCACTCACCCTCCCACCCACCCACTCACCCTCCCACCCACCCACTCACCCTCCCACCAACCCACTCACCCACCCACCCACTCACTCATCCACCCTCCCACCCACCCATCCACCCACTCACTCATCCACCCACTCTCCCTCCCACCAACCCACTCACCCACCCACCTCAAACGATGTCCACCCCTCCCGAGCCTCGGCACCGCAGCAACACATCCGTCGTGCCCACCACCACCATGTCCACCACCACCATGTCCACCACCACCACCATGTCCACCACCACCACCCTCTACAGATTCGTCTCGCACGAGCCGCACAAGCTGAGCTTCGCCAAGGGGGCCCACATGCTCGTGCTGAGGCCGCACCGGGCAGAGGACCTGGAGCCCGTGCCCCGGGCCCCCCCCAAGACCCCGGCCCCCACCCCCCTGCCCCCCACCCCCCTGTCCCCCACCACCCTGCCCCCCACCCCCCTGCCCCCCACCCCCCTGTCCCCCACCCCCCTGTCCCCCACCCCCCTGCCCCCCACCCCCCTGTCCCCCACCACCCTGCCCCCC